TATATATAGAACGAAGGGCGAGCTTTCAAATGGAGTACAGCTGATTAGTTTTAATTTGATGATTTTTTTAAAATGAAATCTTTATTCACCAGGACAGTTTACATTTAGCAGGATAATACGTCTTGTGTTAGCGCCGCGTCAATTTCAATAACACGCAATTTTTAGATAATATTGCAACAATGAACTTTTCTACACCATCGTACACATCGGGGCGTGCGTTGAGCGGTGTTTGATTTGTCGATCTTTGGTTCCTGGGCGAGAAGGGCAGAGAATTAAATGAACCAAATTTATCACCTAGATGATTACAGGTAATCGTTATTGGTCCTATTGCACGCTTAGAAATCGGAAGCTTTTGCTTTTCTAGGATGCTCGTGCGGTCTATTTCGTCCGGTTCGTCGTATTGCCGTCGCAAGAAAGTATTCTAGTGTCCGTTCGTCGCTCTATGGTAACGTCATGTTAGAAATGGAGTTTCTTTTCGAGCTGAGTGGTTATAACAGGTCAAAAGTGATACTATAGTCAGCGCATGGTTCGGGTCATGCTGACTGAACGGTATGTTTCTATTTATGCAGCTAGATCAATTTGTCAAAAGTTGAAATGGTAGCGAAACGGAAATTACGTAGTATATGTGTTGCTTATTACGTATTCTCTAATACTGGTATCCGTTCTAATACGTTCCATATTTGTATAGTTACACAGTATATAATCCTATGTTTTTTTTTTGCATGTTTCATTTTATGTATAGTTAAAAGAAGATACCGTCATAGCATGCGGCAATTATCATAAATGATAACTTCAAGAAGCTATCATTTTAGACTATTTTGCTTCTAAATGAGCTGTTTTTTTGCGCCAATTGAAGACTTACTGAACGTTCTGTTCAGCTGTAGGCCTAGTAGGGCATCCTTATGATAAAAATGTATTGGAAAAGAAGACAAAAAGAGTAATGATAGTTGATGGGCTCACGATGCTGCAACACCAGCTTTCAACACTGGCTGGCATGTTGTAGGTCATGACTGCCGTTCACAGTCTAATTTTAAATTTAATTAAAATTCTCTTCTTACATTATTGTTTTAATACATATAGCATTAGTAGTACGTACTTGCACCAAATACATATAGACGGAACTTTTATTGTGGTTGGGCTTTTAGCAGCTATGTATATATATATATAGTTTTTGTGATTGTTTATATTTTTATCCCAGAGCCGTATTTTCAATCACCTTTAAAGTCAAAAACAGAACAAAAAGGGCCAAGGCCATATCCCCTGAGAAAAAAAAAGTCTACTGAGACAAGCGTCACAGATCCAACACGGACCTGAATAACTCCCACAGCAAAGGACGCGCCTGAGTGATATTCACTTTTATCAGTCGTTTTTTCAGGCAGTGTTCCTTTTTTGAGATTGCGGCCTGAACGTTTTATCTTAGTATAAGCTTTATTTTAACAAGTTCTTTATTAGTACTTTGTTTCTAAATTAAAAATATACGTGAAATTTTCGTTTCTCGAACATATTACATAGAGACACATTAAACGTATGGGCGTAGCTAATTTAATATCCGCCTCAAGCTAGGCGTTTCGGCTGAACGAATTTTTGCCAAGTAAGTAGGTAAACGATTTACCATTGTAATCGCTCGGTTGACCAAATTTTGATTTAATCCGTAATAAAATAAACTGTACTTACATGTCTTCGACTGACTCGCTGGACAGTGGGACTTCAATCTTCAACGCTAACCCTATAATCATTACGGGGCAGCATGAACCCGAAACAACGACGAACGCTTTATTGACATATACACCAGTTAGATGTTACAAATATGCTTTGATATGATAACAACAGAAATTGAAGGTGGGCTTGAAGGAGGAAGACTCTGAAACAGTGACAAACATCAGTGAGACAGCGTACTCGGGCCATATGAACTCGTTCGAACGTACCTAGTTTCTATTACGCGTGACTGGACTGTTTTATATGTTTTTTTTCTAGACATTAGAAAACAAGGCACTCTCGCCACGATCTTTCTAATAGCGGCACCGGCAGGTCACAGCGAAATGGCATAATACAACATCAAGGACGAAGTGCAATGCAGAAAAGGACAAGCTAAGTCGGTGTGACGCCAATGGTCATTTATTCAGAGGTTTAAGCATCACAAGTATATTGTTGTTGAGCTAATAGGGAAGACCGCAGTAAACGGGCGCGCTCGGCCTGTGGGGCTTGGGCCAATCATTATGCCTTATTCTCTCCTCGCTGCATTTCACCGTGAAACGCAAAGTCAGAATTAAGGTTTTTCTCTCTCTGCACACTCAGCTGATAACTTTCACGGGTTATTTAACGATGCTGGGCATAAACCTCGTAAGATAATTGGTATCGATTACCGACCGTTGCACTTCGGTTAAATAATGAATCAATTATTATTACTTCACAGTAATACTTACTTAGGAATTACAGGTAACGAGTAGTGAAAGGCATACCCATCCTCTGTTTCGTTCTAGTGATACTGACTGAAAAAGAAAAGCTCCTCTCAGGGTAAAGTTGAAAGTAAGTTCTTGCACGAAATTCGTCCGGCAAAGTTTGTAGCCATTGTCCGGACAAATTGTCTGCTTATTAAATCGAATGATGATGGCAAACTTTCGTGATTGTCTCTGTCATCGCTCTCTTCGGCTTCGTGCGTGCGAACTACTTACTCTTATTCATAAAATGGAAAGGTAACGCATCGAAAAGTTCCTGCCCCTTAAATTGCCAAATCTGACGACTGATATTGCCACGCTCAAAATTGGTCATTCCCTCACAATGGAGCCTAAAGACAGCATCCGGTTGTATGAATTCGCCAAACAAAAGACCACAGCTGATTGTAGCATCAGTTAATTATCAATACTGATAAGGACCCAATAAATGCAGAAAAAATACTAAACGAGAAACTCTTCGAAACGTCATTGAAAAAAAGTTAGCTTATATAGCTATTGAATCAACTGTGACAAATTAGTTACTAGTTTCCAACGTACGACTGCGACCCTATCTTTTACTTTACTCAACAACTGGGAGCGTGGTTGCATGAAAGATATTGCTAAAGCAAATGTTCTGACAGCCACAACTATCCAAATTTGCTCGGTTTCGGGAATATCGTTCTTTCTTATGTCTTTTTGGTTTCTAATTCTCTAAAGTTTGTTCCTTCACATATCTATTTAAGCCTTTTGAGCAGGCCGTTTTTCTTTATCTCACCGTATTCAGACGGTTACTGCAGCTTGCCATTATATGCCCCTTCAGCTCGCTTCACCTATATTTTGACCGACTATGGGTCGCCAGTCGCAGAGTTCGTAACGTTCTTTGGTGTCACCATTGAAACAAGTTGTTATTATTATTATTTTGCAATTCAGAATAAGGGGTCACATACTTAGTATACGCCCGTGTACGAATGTTTGGAAAACTGGAAAGTTATCCTGCAACATATTCGTTGCGACGTACGTTATTTTCACGGATAGACTGTTCATTTTGCCGCATGTTCATCCATGAGCCACTTACGAACAATCGCGGGGGTGGGACCATGTTTCAGCGAACCCATCTGTGGCAATCCGGAATTCGTATCTAATTGTGTGCGATGGAGAAACGATATCGTATACTATCTGTACGGCAAAAACTTCCAAGTATTTTCTTTACCTACCAATCTGGCCTTCCTTGATTGAGGTGGTGCAAGTCGCATCGGATAAAAATACGCCGCAGTGTTTAAGCTGTGAACTTATTTTAGTGGCAATGTTCTATAGTAACTGCCTTACGCATCTTTTCCGCAATAGCTTCTTGTTGAAATGAAGAGCTGCGTCCTGTACCATGTCAATAACGATCTGCATCTTAATCGAGCGCCCCTGCTAAGTTCAACGCATAGCCGTTAATTCCTTGACCTTACCTGCGATTCGGTCCTGCTGCTTTAGGAGCTTGAAAACCATCCCAGATGTTGCTGTCGTACAAACAGCCTACAAGGTAGAAAACAACCTTTCGGTCGGCGGCACTTGGAATCGGAGATGAGGAAACCGCTGATGATGCTGCATTCACTGCTGCAAAAATACGACCAAATCGTTATCCGAGACTTTGAGCCTGGTAAACGGTTCGTCGCTAAACAGTAACCTAAACGGAACTATCTAAACAGACACGACAGATCTGGATGTAGGTATAGGCGCGCCTTGCAACCTAGCTTCCGCCGTGAAATTACGAGTCAATTCTCCCAAATACGTTCTCAACGATCAACACAATATGTACGCCAGTCGCTAATACCGTAACGTCTTGCACCTATGCCGAACGCCACTGACCTCTATATGGTTACATCACTACGCGTTCTAACTGGCGCACGTCAGCCGTTATTCTAGCTAACTATAGGAACTTGACTATCGAGAGTTCCAAATCATGGCTGACTGAATCGATCGCTGATTTAATCTGTTTTAATTTTAGCAATTTTTTGTTAGAGAAAAACAGAATTTGCCCTAAACAGAATTGGGCATTTTTAAGCAATATACAGAGTGAAACGAAGCTCTTTTGGAAATGTGAGAAAAGTTTCTCTATAGATGTGCATACATATATTTTGTATCGAGTTATAGCGACGGCGTAGGATACATTCAGGCAACGGTTTGGCGACGGAAACGCCTAGAATGAACGGTGAGCGTTGTTACGATATATTGTATACATATCGTCGAGAAAATGGTTACATATAGGTAGGGAAAGATGGCATACCGTCGCGGGTTTACACCGGTTTCTATACTGGCGTGACACAGGAAAAAAGATTTGCTTTATTAAAACAAACACAATTACGTTACCAATCAGCTCGTCAACGTTTATTGCCGTGGTAGGATTAGAACAACTCCTAGGAATATATGTTTAGGAAAACGTGCACGATACCGTTAGTTTTTGCGGATGAGAATACATCGACTTGAGCTTGTTGTTATTTTTGCCTAAGCAAACACTGTTGCTAGAATTTGACGCCGTACGCATACATAAAAATAAACGTAAATTGTCTTTAAAGTTAATAAAGGGTGTCGGCAGCGTTGTGTAGACAACGTATCATTGTTGTTTATTATTCTACAGCGTTAACTTATAGAGCAAAATTCGTTGACCGAGCTCGTTAGGTTTTGTTCCACTAGAGTATTAAAATGCGCATCTATTTGACCTCAAGTGGAACCAATGCAAGGTAGTCTGATACTATCCATTACGGAGGCGTTATTCTTTCCATAGGAATTTAACGTTTGAGCCCTGTGTTATGTCCGTGTGTTCAATGTGTAAGCTAGCAGTCAAGTCAGCTTCAGGCCCTTCACCGTCCCTAGCAAAAAAAAAAAAAAAAAATTTTATAAAAGGCTTGTTACAGGTTTAGGTGTCTGTACGATACAGCTGAAAAATCGAAATCACTGACCTGTCGATCAACTGGTATACCTACTATTTAATGCTAATTGAGAGAACACGATAAGTTGTGACGTTCATTTGCAATTCAGTTGAAAGGCTTCTTGCAGCCAGGCAAAACACGCAGACTCACCAATTTACACGAGAAGCCATACCGGGTCAGAGTTGATGACGGTACTTTGCATGGAAACGGTTCAAAAACTGCTATTTGAATACCTGGATAACCCGTCGGAATAAATTAGTAAAGAGCAGAAAGAATAAGAAAAGTGTTTCAGCCTCTATTCCCTTAACAGGCTGATCAACTATCTAATCGCTTCCAACGAGGCTGATCCCATTAAAAAACACGGAAGAGTCAGTCGTAAGCTTTCAAGGTAGAATGTTAGGCTGGCAGAAAATGTAGCCAACGATAGATAAGAGCTCAGGGCGTTATTGACGGATATGGGGTTGCATGTTAAAAAAAATTAGAGAATTTCAGTAGAGCATCAGAGTTAGACCTATAGGAACACTGATAAGAATAAGCTTCGCGTTGAAAGCCCCCGAACCGTCAGGTGGAGACGTCCATCAATAAGATGATCGGAGCAATCTATTAAACTCAATACAGGGTTTATCTTTTTCAGGTGTACTGCAGCAATAAACAACAGATCCAAGCAAAGAGACTTAAAATATATGATAAAATATGCATAACAGACATAAAATTACGTACGATGTATGGTATCATGAGTTTGCTGAGTCTATGCTCAATATATCGTATAAACGATACTTCATCGTCGTAGAAAAGGTTTAACGATTATTGAAATTGTTCCTTCTGTTGAAATTGAGTCGCGTTATAACTAGATATAGAATGATATAGGAAAATATATATGAAATTGAATCGTATGCCGTACTGCTTGTTCTGAATATGGCATAACCTACGTCCAGTTTGTTGAGATCTAGAAACTACAATGTGTATAGTTAGCATTGATAAAGATTGAAATTTAGTTTTCTTCCAAAGCATCTGGTGCTTAAGCCGTTAGACATATCGCCTAACATCAAAATAACATAGGTAATCTATAAATAGATTTGTTACGGTGTTGCGCTTCTGGTGCATGCTTCGTAGCAGAAGTTTAGAGGTCTTCGTATTTCAGCTGTAAAGCGTATTTGAGATTTATATATATATATGTATCGTTAGCAGGGCTAAAAAAATGTTTACATGTGATGTTAGGAGGATCAGTAGATATAACTTTAAGGTAAAGATCTTTTAGAGCCATCGAATGGCACTTCAGACTTGTCCTCAAAAGCTACAAGTCAATGTCACGGGTACGTCCTACTTTGACGTCCACGCATTTACTATTGGCTTCTAGCTGATATAGTTTAGGCTCATATAATTCTACTTATACATTGCATACGTCTCTCACTAGAAAGTAGCCAAGTGGTCTTCAGACCTATTAAGAGGTCACAAAGGACCTCCTGAGCTAAGATCACGACGTGAACTTCGCAAACATAACACAGAAGAGAGTGAAACTGTTCAAAACGAAAGTGCTAGCTCTTTTTTCCGCTGCTCTGAGTGTCCTTGCGCCTTTGATGAACATGCTGAATCTCTGGTTTATCGAGAAATCAATAATATGAAACGCAACTGTGTCATACGTATTGACGCTTTCCTGCGTACGTTGCAATGTTGTTATAAGGAGTCAGTAGTCAAATACGCGGATCCATTAATA